GAAGCATTCATGAGCTGCTGCAAGATGTACATTTCTGTTCCTCCTTCTGCTTTCTCTCTTTTAACTGAGCAGAATAAATGCCGGAATCAAGGCGATATAGATATGGTGTGGATGCGGTTAGTGTTATGCGAAATAAAAAATAAATCCCAGGAGGTTGGTTCAGTCCTGGCTACTACTGGGGGGGGGGGCCCGGTTTTATTTGAAATTTTGTTCTATCTTGCCAGGATCCCTTTCCCGAGACAACGTTTCTCGGGATGATAAAGATCCCAATCCAGTGGCATTGGCTTCGATCACCGCGCTAGAAACAAAACACCTTTTGTTCTCCGCTACAATCAATTGCTCATGGCAGCAACTCTCGGATGCTGTAGGCATTGCTCAGGAAAGAAGCTACATCGCAACGTGCCACATCATTTGCAACCTACAAAAAGGACCCAACACTCAGGCTCAAACTGTGCGTTTCAATCCAAACCAAACTCGGACAGGCGGTTGCCAACATACTGTGTATACATAATAATTACATGGATGTACGGAGTATTTGCTTGGCCATCCATCGGTAATGATGACACCAAATCAAATCGTTCCCCAGCGGGACGGAAGCGGCCCGCTATGGCCCGATTATCTATCTGCCTCCTTTGTGCGAGGTACGGGTTGGGTTGACATGAAAAGGTTCTACCAACCCATCTCTATATCCTGTTCCATTTTCTCTCTCTCTCTCTCTCTCTCTCTGCGCGAGATAAAAGCACACCTATGCCAGAGTATACTCCATAGCCGTGCTAATAACAGACGTCACAAAGCTGCATACTTACCCGCCAGCTTGGATAGAGCGCGGACCTAAAAACAGAGCAGTGGGGGTGCGGATCGCGGTTATGACAAACATGTTACATGATGTTACATGTACATACATGTGCATACATATACACATAGTATTATAGATATAACATGGACGACAATAACAGGAGAGCAGAGCGGAGTTTCTCTAGCTTATAATTCAGCACTAATTTGGGGTTCAATGGGTTTTTGCAGCAGGCAGCAGGCAGCAGCACACAGACAATTTCAGCAATGGTGCAATGTAGGAAAGAAACAAACAATACAGAGAAAACCAGTAACTTGACAAAATTGATTGCTCAGAATCATGCTCTGATTATTTTTTAACATATATGATAGTTATGCACAGCTTGCAGCACAATCTACACAGATTCAGCTATATCTCATATCATCCAGACAACTTCTTCAGAGTGATTGCTGAACACACAATTTTTGATGTAAATTCCTGCACTGAATCTGAGAGGTGCATGATGAGTGAGAAGAGCATATAGAAGTTTACAAGACTCTGATCAAAAATTCAACTAGTGATATAAAAACATGAAAATGAGTAAAGATGACAGAAGACATGAATTTTGAATTAATGTAATATAATGTGCGAGATTAATTTACATTGACAAGCACCTGTTTGTTCTCTTGTTACTGATAGTATCTAGAGATAAAAGAGAAAAGAAAATAAATAAATCACTCATCAGAAGCAGATTCAGAATAACATAATATAAAGATATATCTCTGATGATTTATCACATCAATTGGAAAATAGAATTATCTGTCTGCATATGTATATATTGCATGTGCTGAATAAACTAATAAATTCTGATAATGATTAGTTACTGTTCATGGCTCTGATCTCTCTCTCTCTTTTCTCTCTAAAATCTCTTCTGGCACTCTCTTCTTAACAGGTTCCACTGTTCAAAAGACCCAGGTGAAAACAGGCAACATATATCAATCAATCAATCATCAAATCAAGCTTGACATGAGAATTAAAGCCAAGAAAGACAAAAGGAATTCTCCAGTTTCTCCCGTTCTCCAAGACCTAGCTCTAAGTCTAGAACGCGAAAGAAGGGCCATTGCACGGTACGTACGGTACAGCTTTTGATGGTGGTGGGGGGTCCATGTCATATCAGAAACAAGAATAATAATAATAATAATAATGGAAAACTACATAGTTATGTGCTGAGGAGTTTCAAGAACGTAGGTGAGGTGGAGCCGTCTTGGCTTCGGATCCTTGATCCTTGTTGGAGGAGAAGAGGTGGGAGATTTGTCTAATTTTGACTTCATGTTGGGAGGAAGGACACACACACACACAGAGAGAGAAAGAGAGAGAGAGAGAGAGAGAGAGAGAGATACTCTCTCTTCCCTGCCTGCTTCTGCTATTCTTCTTTTTTCCTTTTTTCCTTTTTTAAAAATCCTCATTCCAACCGACTTTTCCCGCGCGGTTAAGGAACCCTAAGCGGGGGGGGGGAGGGGGCGGTATCTGTAAATACATATATATATATGGCCTTCTTCAAGATTCAAGAATAAAGGCTGGCTCAGCTTCTCCTCCATAACATTTGTGAGGAATGTGGCACCCTGCACACGTGCATACATAAACTACAGAATATTATTAGAATATTATTGCGCATGCAATACCTAGGTAAGGAGAACATATGATACCCCCCCCCCCCAGGTTCCCACAAGTTGCAATGAGCGAAACAGGCTAGGTAAGTAAGTGCAGGTAAGGTAGGTACAGAGAGAGTCCACACGGACGGTTTCGAATCAGATAAACGAGAAGAGAAGAGAAGAGAAGAGAAGAATAGAAATATATGTTTCTCTGGAGGGGGAAAGAAGAAGAAGAATAATTAATATCTCCTACTTACAGTAGTAACCTTGCCTTACCGTTCGACAAGGCGGGGAGTGGAGTGGAAGGATAGATAACTCCGTAGGTATGGTATGGTATGGTATGGTATGGTATAAGAAGCACAGCACCGAAAATAAAACAATAAAAAATGAAAAAGATTAAGTTACCCCCAATGAACCCCCATCATCCCAGCAGCATGGTGAATCAAACAAGCCACTGCATGAATGAGTGATGGGATCTTATTATTGTTGCTCTCTGCCTATCAGTAGTGTCTGGGGAATAATAATAAATATTAATACAAGCGTAATTGTAGCGGCAGAGGATAGAGTTTATTCAAGCCCTGATAATGCAAAATGCAAAAGATGGGATGGGATGGGAAGGGAACAAAGAAAACCACAAAAGAACAGGAAGCTAGGGAATACAGTACTGCGTAATAAATACATAACAATATTAATACATAGTACTTTCTTTGTAATGCTGACAGGGCTGGAAACAAAGTGATTGTGAGTGAGCAAGAATAATAATCTTGGAGTTGCTGTAGTTAACTAACTACTCCGTAGTAAAATTTATTAAATGGGAGATCCGTGGGATATCGTATCCTGCGTGTATTGGGGTGGTTGAAATTTTTTTTTTTTTTTTCCCTACCCTCCGATCTTTGATGTGTAACACCAATAATAATAAATGACGATATGTATGAGATCTTCTCGAAATGAAGAGCCCACTGGAGAAATCCAATAATAAATAGAGCCTTACTTTAGGTGGGTGGGGTGTGGAGAAAATAGTTTGTCAGATAAAGCAACGTTCAACTTCATCCGCTTTCCCCCATACCACCTACCCATCCCTACCCCATACCTACCTACCCCCGGGGTGGTGGGCAGACGCACGGGGCGCGGTTGGTTAGCGCCAGGCCAGGGTTGGGCGAGAAAAGAATCGCATGATTAGACCGATAGTTATTAATATTGATATAATTGATTCCTTGTGACGGCGGGGGGGAATGTGTGCGGAGTAAGGTCGGGTTAGCCATGCTAGCTAGTACTCCGTAGTTACGCAGTAGTAGGTACTTACTTACTACTACCACTAGTGTGTCGTCGGTGGCTGTAAGTTGTAATAACCTGACATGGCGAACCATGGCGAATCATGGAAGGAGAGATGTCCGGTGTGGCCCGATGTGGTGGCCCGATGTGGTCCCCGTGTGGTCCAGTATGGCCCAGTGTGGCGGCGCCCAGTCCCCAGCAGTGACAGACTTAATAATAATTGTCAGGAGAAAGGCGGATGCGGACTGGACGGGTTGGACGGGTTGGACGGGTTGGGGGTTGGACGGGTTGGCGGGTGGTGGGTTCCGGAGTCCAGTCCAGTCCGGGCTAGGGAGGGAGGGGGGGGGGGGTGGCCATGCATATACCATATACCGTATCAGCATTATTATTACCGTTATACTCGCTCTGCTAAGGAGAGAAGGAGGAGGAAGATGAGGATATTCTGTGTATTCTCTTTCTCTAATCAAATAATATCAATAATAATATTAAATATATATGTACAGTCTAATCAAATAATATCAATAATAATATTAAATATATATGTACAGAAATCCCAATGTCTTCCCATCTTCTTTTCCCCGTGATCATTATAATGGTCCAACAGCGAAATCAAAAACAACGAACGAATGAAATATAAAATAGACGATTCGGCGACCAGTTACGGCGTAGTTGCACAGAAACGGCATAGTGGAACGCCGACCGGGCTTCCTGCAGGCGAGGCGAGGTGGTATGGTATGGTATGCGCAATCGGGACAAGAAGTCTAAATAATTAATAATAAGCTGATTTTGATTTTTGATTTTGATTGTGACGAATGGTTCGGTTGATTTTGGTTCGCGGTCGGACAGGTTGCACCGGCCGGTGGCACAAGTTGGACCCGGGGCCTTGGGACGGAGCAAAAAAAAAAAAAAAAAAAAAAAAGGAAAAAAGGGAAAAAGAAAAGAAAAAAGGAAAAACAGGAAAAAAAACAAGGGTTGCTGGAATCTGGAATGCCCCAGCTCCACTTGCTTGGAACCGAACCGTGAATACTTTACCGAGATGTAACTACGCTATGAAAAATAAGTGTGTACGGAGTCCGTAGTTAACTATATGAATAATATTAAATAAATGAGAAACGTGGTTTGATTGATGGAAGCGACGACGTCTCACATTTGGGTTTGGATAAAGTCCCTGTAATTTATGTTGTTAGTTCGCTTCTTTTTGTTACTACTCTAATACAGGTAACTACGGAGGGAGTACAGTATCTTTTATCATGTTAATTAATATTATCACCCCGTGATATTAAAGTGATATTAAATGGGAGAATCAGAATATTATCATCATATGGAGTAGTCACTGTGTACAGGCAGGCAGGACAAGCTATACAAGAAGATAACAACAAAAATGATGAGGAATTAATTATTCTGAAAATATCAGCAGCTGCCGAGCTCTCTTCCGCTTCCTTCTTCTGTTTCCCCCTTGCATCGAATCGACCAGACAGGCTGAGATGAAACTTAGTTATATATAAAAGTGCTTGATACTAGGTGTATTCCATTCCAGCCGGACATGATTTAGCTGCATTCGAGAGGCGAATCCCAGCCCTCTTGGACCCTTTCTTTCGCCTCTCCTCTCCTCTCCTCTCCTCTCCTCCTCCTCTCTCCTCTCCTCCTCTCTCCTCTCTCCTCTTCCTTCTCTCCTCTTTTTTAGACACTTTACGCGTAAACCCGTAAACTTATTACGGCGCCGGCGCTTTATTACTAGGGGAGACCGGGGCTAGTTAGAACCTAGCTAGCAGGAGGCTTGCACGGACTACTGTGTAGGCCTGTTCGTTCGCCCTCAATTCTGGCGGGTACAGTACACACCCAGTAACTTACAGGACAGGGCCGCCGTCGCTTCTTCGTCGTCGTCGTATTCTTCTTCTGATTCTTCTTCTTCTTCTTCTTCTTTTCAATTCATTCTCTTTTGTTCCGAAGACTTTCTTCTACCTCCTTCTTTTTCTCCATGTCAGGCAATCCTGTCTCTTGAACATCCAACAACAACGACCAAAACACAAGCGACAATACACAAACTACAACTAACAACTACTCCTACTCCTACGAAATCTATTCAAACAACAGCGTAACATAGCCACCCCGAGTTGTTGTTGTGCGCGCTGATGCAAATGATCATCTGATTCTATACCTCCCTCCCTCCCTCTCTCTCTCTCTCTCTCTCGACAAAAAAACCATGCTCGAGAATTAAAAGGGCCGGGAAAATATAATTGAAAAGAAGAAAAATAAAAGGAGAAAAAAATAAAATAAAACATCCCAAATCCTATTCCGACCGTTATCCGTTCGTTCTCCCTATTTCCTTATTGTCCGCCATCCCCACATTCAACCACATTCAAGTTCTCGCCCAAACGTCTTTCGTATGCGCTGTTTGCATCGCTCCTGAATTCTACTTGCTTGTATCCAGACCCTGTCGGCGTTGTGACAATTATAGCACAACACTTCACAGCCGATAGCGCATTGAATCGGTCTTTATCATCTATCGATAATCTACTTATCGTTCAGCTGCTTTTCTGGCGGATGTGGTAGTGGTTGGTACTCGATCTTCACTTTGAATACTTCATTATCGGATCGACAATTATTATTATGATTATTTTGTCAAAAAAAAAGTCCATTTATTGATTTTTCAATTCTTCATTTCTATACCATTCGTCTGTGGAAGTCAGAGAACTAATCAGGTCATATAGGATATTTTCGTTTGATATATAGCAGACTCCTTTTTGCCCGTCATGGCTACAAAGGCGTCTATCCTACACCCTCCAAACGAGACCGAGCATACCATGTCTCGCGTCACCCAGGAGGGCAAAAAACTCACCTACCACCTCAAGGTCATTCAGCAGCCTGAGCGCGCCAGAGCATGTGGTGCTGGAGCGAAATGTGAGTCGTCAAAGATGTTGCGAAAATATTAACGGTTGGATGCTGACTATCTCCACCAGCCTCTGCGGACCGCCGACCTGTTGACCCGCCGCCAGTGGTCGAATTGCGCGTGTACGAATCAGACCTAAATGATCAGCACAAAACAGATGTCACTTTTAGCTACAATGCCAACTTCTTTCTGTTTGCGACCCTCGAGTGGGCACGACCAATTGCCCATGGCAGAGTCCAGACGCAGACCCCTTCCTGTCCCGTGCTGACAGGCGTGCCCGTTGCGGGCATTGCATATCTGGATCGACCAACCCAGGCGGGATACTTCATCTTCCCTGATCTTTCCGTCCGTCACGAGGGCCTGTACCGGTTAAACTTCAACTTGTATGAGGAAATGAAGGAACCCAAGCATGCCGATAAAGGTGGACTAGTACCACACCACCCGCAGAACCATCTGGTGCCGTCCACGCCGTCGAAACCCCGTTCACCGCATCAGTTCCTCCACTTCCGTTTGGTTGTCAAATCCGTCCCGTTCACCGTTTACAGCGCGAAGAAGTTCCCTGGCCTGGCCGAGAGTACCACGTTGAGTCGCATCGTGGCAGAGCAAGGTTGCCGTGTCCGGATCCGCCGCGATGTTCGTATGCGTCGTCGCGAACCGAAACCCAACAAGGACTATGGTGCCTACGACGACAGGCATAGGGCCACCCCAGATCCATACCCGGGAACTCCTATCGAACGTCCGCGCTCGACGAGCAACGCCTCCATCGACGACCCTTACAGATACCCCACAGCACCACCACAGGTCCAACCGAGTCCCGAGTACGGCTACCATCATCCATCTCATCAGCAACCCTCTCCTGTCCCTACCGCAGCTCCGCACTTACTTCTATCCTTTGGCGCCCATGCACAATATCACGTTCCTCCCCCGCCACTACACGCCGCCGCCGCACACCCCGCTGCACCATCCACTGCCTATCCTTCTCCCCATCTTGGTTACGTACATACCCGACAAATCTCTGGCGGTTCAGAGTACGACCCCCTCGGGCAAAAGTATTCCCAGTACCCACCTACCAGCCCTCACTCGGATGTATACGACCAATCGAAGCCTTCTATGCCCATGAACCCATCAATGGATCACCCCCCCTACCAGCAAATGTCCTACGACCAACGCCTCGCAGATCCAAAACTTTATAACCCACCATCTCAACTCCACCACGCTCCTCCTCCTCCTCCTCCTCAACAACAACAACATCAACATCAACATCAACATCAACCACCCCCATCCTCAGCAGCAGTAGCACAAACCACCCCGCACCGAACTCCCGCCAAACCAACAATCCTCCCACCAACCCCATCCTGCCTCTCCGTCGAAATCGACCCCGCCGCCGAAGCCGACGACACAATCTTCAGCGCCACGCGCACCCGCCGCGGCTGGGTCCTGGACGAGAAGCCCGGCCCCGCAAAGCGCACCCGCGACACCTCCGAGCACGACCACCAGCCCCTGCGCAACGGCCAGCGGCCTGTCATGTCCGGCGACGAAAGGGGCAGCGGCGAACTCAGCGAGACATCTGGCGGGTCTGACGACGAGGTGATGATGTACCGGCGGGCGGATGGGCGGACGGTGTGGAAGCACCGCGCGTCGGCGAATTCGAAGGGGAAGGAGGTTAATATTCCGCGCGATTTGGATTTGGTTCCTAGGCGGGCGGAGGTGTGTCCTCTTCTTGAGTAAAAAAAAAGGGGGGGGGGGGTTGGTAGTTTGCTCTATTGAGGGAGGGGGTTCTATGGATGGGGAATGAATAAGAGAGGGAAATGACCCAAAACGTCGTTCGATTATGGGCACAGAAATCGCTTCTCCAGCTTCCTTCTCCGGTACTACCGACGGAAATCGTTATCTCGACTCGAAACAACCACCACATCATTTATAAAAGCCACCTTTGAACTTTCCAAGGTGATATGATATGTATCTTTATCAACCCAAGATCGATCAAACCCCCTCAAATCCATCCGAACCCAAATCTATCCGGATCTCTCGGCTAGCCTTTTATTCCCCTCTCCTCTACCACACCCATCTCGCATCTTTGCATCTTACGCGGCTTTTCATTCTATATTTTTTAACTTAACAACCAATCTGTCAGATACCACCTCCTTCCTTCTTTCTTCCTTCCTCTTTCTTTTATCTTTTTATCTACTTGTCATTTTATTTCATTTTATTTATCTCAAATATACTCCAGTGTTTCACACCTCCCCCAACACCCCCCGTTTCCTTCGTTCAATTTTTTTTTTTCTCTCTTCACACACATGCCATGTATTCTTCCCTTCCCCTCGCTGTTTTAACTGTTCATATATTCCCCCCCCCCCCCCTTTCTTCCTCCCTTGCCTTTATTTTCTTTGCTCTGTTCCTATCAGTTATCAGTTTCCTAGTGTCCTGTCCTATTTGTTGGTCTGTGTTATTTTTTTTACCCCTGCTTATCCAACCCCTTGCCTCTCCTACTCCCGCCCGCTCGTTTGTGGTGGAGGATATTCCATCGCACTATATATATATATGTATACATCATACCCGGCAAACGCGCACACCCTCTCCCACACACGTCACAATGATAATCGCAAATTGGCAAATTTCTGTTTCTTATCTACATTATTTGCAATTTTGAAGGCCTTGTATCTGGAGAGAAGAGATGGGGAGAATGGGGAGAGAGGGGACTGGACGAAAAGAGAGGGAAAAAAAAGCACGGCAGGCCATTGTAATGTACATACCTGGGACCCCCGGGTATGTGGGCTAATTGTTCCTTTTTTTTTTTTTTTTTTTTTTTTTTTTTTTTTTTTATCTTCTACTTCTACCTGGTGTCTTTTATTTACTCTTGCCATTTCCTTTAATTTTTCTTTTAATTTTGTTATTTACTCTTATCGTGGCTCTATCTATCTAGCTCATCTCAAAGTTCTGCTGTTTCTTGCATACTATCTAGGTATACCTTACCCTACTTACTCTATCTAAGGCAACAATCATTTTTTTTATCACCTTATTTCTTTCCTCAGGTATTTCTCTTCCCTTCTCTTCTCATCTTCATCTTCATCTTCATCATCTTCTTCTTCTTCTTCCTCTTTTCTCAGAAAGATATGAAATTGTATATGAATGAGATTTGATAAAAAAAAAATACATAAAATGAAAAAAATGAAATATATATATGTATATAATTTTTTTTTTGAAAATACTATTTAAAAGGAATAAATATACATACACCAATCAATTCATAACTTTGTAGTTTATTGATAGTTTGAGTGAGTTGCGGTATTTATTTTAATACATGCGTAGGCTGGGCTGAGAGAAATAGTTCATTATTATCAAGAGAATCAAACATTATGTATTATGTATGTATTGTACTATATTATCTCTCTATATATTATAGAAAAACCAACTTTTCCGAGTAAAATGCTCTGTAACATGACCTCACATGATATCACATGCATCTCATCAAAATGAATTTATCTGAACAGCCAGCTCTGCAGCCTGTACAGCTCTGATATTAATCTTCATTCTTTTCTTTACAGATATTCTCTACTGTATTTACATTCTTTATACTCTTCTCTACATTTATTTCAATCTATACATTCATTAATATACTCATTTCATGCGCTGCTGCTTGATATGTGAGAATTCTCATTCTCTCAGTGTATTTGAACAGTTTCAATTCAATGCATTATTCTGTACATACTCTACATGCTGTCAAGCTCAACATCACACATGCTAGTCATATTCAGTTCAAATCTCTCATCTGTCATTGAGAGATGTAGTCACTTTTATACTCAACTCACAGTAAGTTGAGCTGTCACACTGTAATATATACTGTGAAGACTGTTTATCTCACCTGTTCTATACTATTAATTGTGTCTTCAAGAACTGCAATGACTGTTAGACTCTTAATCATAAACATATCTGTGATATCAAATGCTGTTATTTGACAGCTGCTGTAGCAGTTACTGCAGCAGATGAGTCTGCTAATTATATATATATAGATTCACTGAAGCAGCTGACTCTTAATAATCTTAATACTTGAACTAGCTTAACTATCTCTGAATCAGCTGTTAATTCTTCAATTACTTATAACTGCTAATCTGTTCTCTGCAGCTTCTACTTCTACATCTATCACTGTTAATCACTTAATTTTGACTGAATAAATATCTGCTGCTCTATCTGCAGAGCTAAGCATTAAATTGATAAATATATACATGAGTTATCAAAGACTCTCTCAGTGTTTTTCACATGCTGTGTAAGAGATGCTGTAAGACTGTCATCTGTCAGAGAACTCTTATCAGAGCTACATGAGCTGTTTAATAATAATACAGCTGATATAAAGTATTTCTGTAAGTATATTTAAAACTATAACTCTGCTCTGACATTTATATCTCTTAAGTATAAGCAGAATTCATATCTGAGTTGTCTGACTACTGACAGCTCAGTGTTATTTTAAATACAGAGAGAACTCTATTATCTGTAAGAATTATTAAAGTCTGAGTCAGATGATGATATCTGTTTTATATAAATATAAATTCACAATCTGCAGTTTGATACAGATATTATAAATAATACAGACTCTGTTATATATTCTAGTATATTTAATTATATCTGTATTATATTGCTTACTATTCATTCATTTGCTTTTTCATATTCTTCTATTATATTGTTGACTGCTAATATTTCTAAGATTAATTCTTTTATTCAGCTTTATCAGTCTGTATAAGAGATACTACAGAGTAGCTCTGCTATATATATCAGTTTAAACTCTGTTATATAGCTGAAGGCAGATAATAACTGCTACTGTGAGAATCTGTCTACTATCTCAGAGATTGCAGTTATTATACAGAATACTTCTAGTGATATCTGTCATCTCTGTGCCATTCTTCTGATACTGTGGCGGGCTGCGCCCGATCAATCATATAGACTATTCCGTTACACTCCACAGATTCCAACCGCTTCATTCTCGAACGCGTACGCTCCGATTCTCGGCCATTCTCAATCACCGATCCTCGGCTACCACAAACGCGTATAGATTCTTCCACCCCGAAGCTCCACTGTGTACATCATTATATACATGTATAAATATTCACTTCAATTGCTGATTCTCACACTTTCTCTTTCTTTTTCTTCTCTAACATTTTTCTCTTTGTTATATAAGACCTATCAATATCATACTGATCTATTCAGTATAGACCTCTTACACTAGAAAAACATTCATTGTCTTCTTATTAGAAATGATTATTCATTAAGATATCTGAATGTGTAACAATATGTAAGAAATAGAGAAACAGTTAAACAGTTAAGCAGACACTGAGTTCTTAAATAGAAGCTTGCTCATCAGTTACTCTGACTCTGTAACAAGATCTTACAAAGAGAGTAAGATTTTATAAGAGAATATTAGTGAAAGATCTGAGAGTTCTGATATTTCAGATATATAAGATATTCATATAATTACACTTCTTCAGATTTCATAGATATCACACATCTGATAAATGATATAACCATGTTTAATGATAATATGAAAGAACTCTCAAATGCAAGCATAGATGTAATATCACAGTAGCTTTAAGTAATGTTGAAATTACAATAACAATAAATAGCTGATATGCATGCAACTTAATAATGTTAATATAAAGAGATTCAATGATTATTATAACAAGAAACTCATGCAATTTCAATATTTACAGAATTGAATATAAAAGTACTGAAAGAATGCTTAGATACTCTTATATATTTAATACTTTAATCTCACTCTCTACTTATCATGAAGAATGAAAATGCTTATAAAACTGAGTGTAGATGAAGATGTCATCAGTTCATTAATCAATCAAGATTAATATATTAATGAATAATTGAAAGAATCACATAAAACAGAAGTTTCATTTATGAATAAAAGCATGTGAATCAGTGCTGTAAATATCTAATAATATTATCAAATATCTTGATATTCTGTTCTGAGACACTGCCATGCAACAGAAAGTTTTAGATTGATTACAGAGTATCTAACAGAGAAACACTTCTCTTACAATATTCATTTCTGACTTTGATATCAAGATTCTAGAAGCAGGTGATCAATCTTGAAAGAATTGAATAAAGATTAGTATATTTAAGAAGATATTAACTTTTGAACTCTTACAGATTCTTATAAGTGTAGATGAAGATCAGACTTATGAAGATTTCTACACACAGCTCTGAACATTGAATAACTGTCTTATCAAGCTCAAGAGTATACAGAACAGTGATAGAAGATGTTACATTCATATATCTGTGTTGAGAAATAACTCAGTCACTCATACATCTGCACTAAGAAATAACAACAATGATGCAGATGCTATGAACTAAGTAGACTTGAATGTCTATACATAAGCAAGAGTCTCTGCTGTTCAAACAGGCTTCTGAGTCTCTGAAATTACTTCTGAAGAAGTTGCTGATTAATATCAATGAGAAGTGTGTATTAACTGTAATCAATCAGAGTATATTACTTTCAACTGTTAATCAGTCTACATGTCTTTTTATTCAAAGAATAAATCAGCATCTGTTCATATCAATCATGTTACATTAAAGAAAGATTTAAAAGATAACTATGAGAATACTCTGATAAAATAGAGAAAAGATTAGCTTCTATTCAAATTCATAAACAGAAGCTTGAAGAGGTCAGATGATAATAATTTAAAGAGAAAATGACAATGAATGTGATTCTTATATCTACTATGATTAATAATATATATAGTATAAAAGTCATGACAGACAGTGGTCTATGTCACTATATAATGATAAAATCTTCAG